ACATAATATTTAAAAAAAATTTCATATGAAAATATAATATGAATGTTCACAATTTACAATTAATATACAACTAGTTTTAAAAAAAACTAAATTCATACCAATATTAACATTCACACTACAATATGAAAACATGAAACAATATTGAAAGGAAAAAAAAAATCGATTATTCTGATTGTTTAATGACAACAAAAAATGAAGGTTCAAACAACAAGTATAGTAACAAATAATATAAAAAAAATCATCAAATAATATATAAAAAAGTATCAAATTGTTCATATATATTGACACCTTTTTAGAAAAATTTGTATATAATCAAAGGTGGATACAAAAATTGATGAAGACATTACGGTTTATGTGTAACAGTGGCAAAAATATGATTGTTTATTGCCGATTTATCATCATCTCTGTTATGAGTCCATCATCATCTTTATTATCGGCCTACAACTAACATTCTCTTCCAAATGTTCTTTCATGGGACCTTAATGCAAACTAATAATGAAGGAAAATCCTTGATTAAGTGAATCTCTCATATTGAGGCAAAGAAAATACTAAGAATAATAATCTTCCATATTCTATATACAATGTTTTATATATACCACAAATAAAATATATCTAATAATTGATATTTTCTCTCCTAAATATATGATATAATATATGTTATAATAAAAGTCTATAAGGGTAAAATAATGGGATATTTATTAATAAATCTCATCTCACAAACAAGTACTCCAATTAGGCTCAAATTTTTTCTATTGATTTGTTAAGTCTTATTAGTAGAGAGTTTCTTTCTTTGTGATCCTATTTTTAATTTTGGTAATATTTTGGTAGACAACTATACATTTATTTATTAATATGATAGGTATAATGTAATACTCTAATGTGGCATGTATTAATATGGCACTCCAACGATGTGACATTCCAAAAAAATAAAATACTTCTTAGTATGCTTTTATTAAATGTAACAACATGATGGATATGATGTGACACTCCAAAATTTTACTAAAAATAAAAAATAAAAATTTCGTAGTGTACTTTTTTCAAATGTGACAACATGACGGATATGATGTGACACTTCAAAAAAAATAAAAACTCCTTAGTGTATTTTTTTCAAACGTGTATGATGTGACACTCTAAAAAAAATAAAAACTCCTAAATTTGACAACGTGGTGGGTAGTGTATTTTTCTCAAACGTGTATAATGTGACACTCTAAAAAAAAAATAAAAACTCCTAAATGTGATAACGTGGTGGGTATGATTGACACTCCAAACTTTTATTTCAAAAAAAATAAAAACTCTTTAGTGTACTTTTCTCAAACGTGATAACGTGGTAAGTATGATGTGACACTCTAAAAAAAAATAAAAACTCCTTAGTGTACTTTTCTCAAATGTGACAGCATGGCGGGTATGATGTAACACTCTAAAAAAAATTAAAAACTCTTTAGTGTGTACTTTTTCCAAACGCGACATGTGCTACTCCAACGTGGTAGGTATAATGTGACACTCTAAAAAAATTAAAAACTCTTTAGTGTACTTTTTTTCAAATGTGACACTCTAACATGGCGGACATGATGTGACACTAAAAAATTCTTAAGTGTATTTTTTTCCAAATGTGGCACTCCAATATGGCGAGCAAATGAGTCATTACACATCCAAAAAGACTAAATGGATTACAAAAAAAAATATAGGACTATATGGATTACAAGTCTAAAATACGTGACTTATTGGTCAATCTCCCTAAAATAATCTACATAATAATTCTAATATAGGAAAAATGATCTATTGGAATATAAGTCTAAATATATAATAAGTCTTGATGAAATATTAAAAAACTTTATGAACTTATTGGGTTGTAAGTCTACTAAGTTGCCGTTTGGCTAGAGCTTTTTAGTTGACTTTTTTGAGTTGAGACTTTTTTAGATTGGGATTAAAAAGTTTATTTGGGTTGACTTTTTGGGCTTTTGTGAGAAAAAAAAGTAAAATATTATGATTTGATGTGACATTTTGTCTTATTGATTTATTTAGCCTATTTTGTCTTATGTGCGTTTTTAGTCCCAACTATAATTGCCAATCGAAGCCTAAATGAGATTTATAAATAAATCTCCCTAAATTGAAATACCATGGAAAGATTTTTTGATAGGACAAAGAAATTTTCTTAGTGCAAAATAAAAAGAGAATGTAATTTAGAAAATAAAATATTATTATTTTTATATTAGAGATCATTTTATGTATAAAATAAAATATATATTTTTAAAAATACTTTGGTATCACTATATTTCATTGGAGCAGAAACTCTGGCTCCCCATAATCTTCTCTTAGTTTTGTTCTTGTATCCAGTACCACCTTCATCACACTATATCGCCACCTCCTCCTCCTCCACCCCAACCCCACCATCTTGGCATAATTTAAAAAGAAAAAAGGGTGTTAAATAAAGTAAATATAGTAGTCAAGTTGATTTATTTATTCAACTTGTACCAAATTTTACTTAATTCATTTAAATTCATTCAAAAAATGGATACATTTAAATTTAATTATTTTAATGCATAATTGTTTTGACTTATTCAAATATATTGAACAAACTACACATTTTAATAGTGTGGGATCTAAGTAATTTTTCCGATTTTTAAGGATCGGAAATATCGTAATCCTCGTACAATGAATGAGTTGAAAAGTTCTCTGTCAAAATTAACTACATGTTCCCATTAAAATACATATATATGTGTAATATGACATGGATATCCACTTGCAATAAGGTGTATGGTTCCGTTTGTTTGGGATTATAGGAAGGGAATTGTGATTATTAATACCTTCGTATTATTAATACCTTATTTGTTTTGAGAGATGGTCTTAGGACTACTAATACCTTAGTATTACTAATATCCTTGGAAGGGGGATTCATAGTGAGAGGTAGAGATGATATTAGAAAAATAGTGAGGAGATTAGAAATTTTTTTATTTTTTTTTATTTTTTATAGATTGGGAATTTTTTTTTAAATATTAATGTTTAATTTTTATATTTTTTTATTTGTTTTATTATTTTATATAAAAATAATTTAACAATTTCTCATTATCAATTCCCTCACTATTAATCCCCTCACTATCAATCCCCTCTATTTTATCTCTGAAAACAAACGAGGCCTATGTTTCTTGGTGATCGAATTACATCCACCCTGACATTTTCTTTTCATTAAAGGTAAGACTATTGTAAATTTCAGTTAATTTTACTGATTTTTTTAAAGCTTTAATTTATATAATACTTAACATTATTTTTCATCAAAAATTTATTAGTTATACAAATAAAAAACATATATTATTTTACTTTATATTAAAAAATATATTTTACCTTATGCGTCTTTATATCTTCATACCATTTGCATTGATTTTGTTCTTTTTAACCTTATTAAGAATGATCTCAGTGTAACTATGTCAATATTACAAGACTTATTGTATTTTTTCCAAACTTCAAAGAACATCAATGTAATTTGGAAAAGACTCCTCTCCATACTACTATCCTTCCTACTCTTTCATAATTTATTTTGCGGGCCTCACTCTAGGCCTATAATGATGATCCGAACTGTTCAACTCATAAATGTTACAGTAAAGACCACTTGTGCAAAAAATTAACTTCATTGAATATCAATGAATAGATGAACAAGTTATATTTTGATTTATAAAATGGACGGTTTAAATTTAAATTTAAATTTAAATTTATAATTGCAATTCGATAAAAAAAACAAAAAATAATTTGTTCATATGTCTGATTAAATTAATTTTTTTCACAACTCATCGTTACTACTAAGCTTACAAATTAAACGATTCAGATCATCGTTGTGAGCTTGGGATAGTGCCCATAAAATAGAATATGAAAGGGTATAGAATATAGAGATATGAAGGAGAGTTGTTCAGAGATGGTCATTTTCTCTCGCCTCGCTCTGCCCACCCCGCCTCATTCCGTTGTGGAAGTGGGGTGAGGATGAGTTTTGCTACACCCACCCTACCACCCCACCCTCCGATTTGTCCCGCCCATGATACGATACGATATTTAAGGAAAACGAATTATTACAAACCCGTCCCAAACCAGACCCATGATTAGGAATGGTCATTTTCTCCCGTCCCGTTCTGCACTCACACTTACATTCCCCATATATAATATATATATATATATATATAATGTATTTATTTTTCATTATAATAAAATTAAAATATTATATTTAATTTTTAATTTTATTCATTTATATTTTTATCTTATATAATATAATTTTCATTACGTATAAATTATTATTCATAATATATTGTATTATTTATAATTTTTATTGATATTTTCATATTTTAACTTACAAAATTAACCCCCTCTTGTCTCGCATATGCCCTGTTTCCGTCACCCCCTAATTTGCCCCACTCCCAATATGATACGGGATGAAGACAAATTTTATAAACCTATCCTAAACTCGACCCATGACCATCCCATTGTTCTCATGTAATTTACCATTTAATTCATGTATTTATTTTTACACGATGTTTCATTGTCAACACTCGCAAACAAAATGACACATCACTAGTATTATTCATTAAGAAAAAGAGGAGGATTCTCTTCAGTCTAGATTTTAGATTGGAGCGTGTTGTTTGAGCCCATAGGATCTACTACGGGCTCTGTTTCGATAATTTGAACTGTTCATTTTGTTGAACACGTCGTATATTTCATCTACAAAAAAATTAAATCGACCTGATAATTATAACTTATTCAGTTTTTTATCCAAAAAAAAAGAAAAAGAAGACAACAGTTATGTTTTTAAAATAAATTATATATATTTTTAATGATAAATATAATAAATTAAATAAGTTATAATTATTAAATTGATCTAATTCTTTTATATAAATAAAATAAATGAACTATTCGATAAAATAAATGATTTAAATTACTATTAAAATAGAGCCAAGAAGCCAAAGTGCGCCCTCCAATTTTAAATGTGCTCTCCAGGAAATCCTGTTCCTAATTGGAAAAAGGACGCAATCTAAGACGTGGGGAAAGGTGGTTGTGTATATAATATTGTTCAGAGATACATCTGACGAAGAGAGAGGGAGAGGGAGAGGGAGAGGGAGAGGCGGTGATCATGGCGGCTAAGTTTCTGTCGCTGGCGTGTTTGAGGAACGAGAGTAGTAGCCATGGAGATTTATCGCCGAGGCCTCACTACCCGTCGATGCCCAAGTATCCGAAAGGCGTATCCTCCGATGAGGAGAAGAACATGGAGGGTTCGGAGGCCAAGGCCTTGTTCTCCGTCATCGGAATGACTTGCTCTGCTTGCGCTGGCTCAGTCGAGAAGGCCGTGAAGCGCCTTCCCGGAATCAAAGAGGCCGTCGTTGATGTCCTCAACAACAGAGCTCAGGTCATGTTTTACCCAAGTTTCGTCAATGTAAGTTTTCAAATTCTAATCTTTCTCTTCTATATGAATAGAATTGTTGTTGTATTGTTCATTATATTCTGTGAATTTGTTTTGTTTTATTTTGAAGTTTTTTAATTGTTTGTCTGATCATTGAACAAATGGAGTTTCTCTTATTACATGGAGTTGAAAATGGGGTTGTTATTTTTTAGGGTTTACAAAGTTAATTTTTTTAGTTGCACAATTTTAAAGATGTTAGACCATCTCCAACCCAGCACATTTTCTTTCATCAAATTTAAATTTGATAAAAAAGAAGTAACTTTTTGGTTTCATCAAACCAATATCAAATCTAGGATATATTACGTTTTCATCAAACTGAGAATGGATGTGGGTTTCACCAATTTCCTGTTCAGAGATGTTGGAGTTGTAGTAAGAACAACACCACTGGACAACTGGTCGAATGTCTGGCCGGTTGTCGTCCGAACGACCACTTATGTTCAAAATTGCCTACAACATATTTCAGATTTGAGTGAAAATTACACCGGCTGGTCGTCCTCCCACTTGACTGGTAATTTGATGACAGTTTGGAGCGCACGATATCAGATGGAGTTTTTACTCAAATTTTTATTTAAATTTGATGAAAAAAAATAATATAACATTGGAGATGCTTTTAACTGTTAACGTGTCACATCATACATCTTTATTATTTATAGTTTTTTCATAAAAAAATTAAAAAATTACTAAATAAATAAATTCTAAACGAAAATTTCTAGCTATTACTGCAAATTTCAGTCAAATTAAACACTAACAGTCCATTTGGATGGAGTGATTTGCTGAGAAATGATAAGAAATGAACACTTTTATTCAATCCAAAAAAAAAAAGGATCTTTTATCATTTTTGAAAAAATAATTATAAAATAAAAATTAATTTTCAGAACTTATTTTCGTCCCAAAAGAGAAAATCATATGAAAATAATAATTTTGTTTTCGTTTTTTTTTTGTTGAGAAAATTGATTAAAAAATTCAACCAAACCAGAGAGAATTAAGGTTGAGATTTTACCATATTTCTTTTTTGCATTTGTTTGTATTTAATATCTGTCCTCCTTTTCTTTTCAAATGTTCTTTTGACTTTTCTCTTTGGCAGACAAATTTTTTTGCTTTTCATTTAGAATATTGCCCACATAGAGTAGAATGTACTAGTATAGAAGTAAATTAAAGGATTCCTTTGGGCTTCTTTTGGAAGCATGATATTAGACCAACCATCAGGAATCTGATACAACAGTGGGACATGTTTATACGGTTGCATATGTACAAGTTATTAAGGGAATAATTAAAGATATAAAAGTAAAACTCAGAGAAAAAAATGTTTGAGGTCGGTTTAATTGTACTTTTTTGAAGGGTAAGCCTAGCTTGGGAACTTGAATTCAACATCAAAAGAGCTCCCAAAGTGAATGATTTGAATTTCTTTTGAGTTCTGAAATCATAGTTGTCAAATAGGGATTCCTATCGTGAATTGAAATGGCCTCGTACTGAATTGCGAAGCAAATCGAATCGTGAATCGTAAAGATTCGGTCACTTTTTTTAAATTACTTAAAAACATAAACCTACACATTTAAATGTTAAATATTTCTTATGAATATAAAATATTTAGACTTAAATCAATAAAAATGTTAATTTGCATGATAATCACGCAGTTTAATAAGTAAGAAGTTAACAAAGATTCCTATGTAAGATCACCTTCTTACCTTTTTTTTTGTTTTAGATGTTTCTTATCAACCATTATTAATAAAGATAATAACCAAATAGACAAATTATCAATTTCTAAAGTAACAATAATTAACAACGATATTGATATTTGGGCAATAAGCATACATACTTTTTTAAGTAACAGTCAACAAATAATAAGAAAGAATTATTTAGAATATTTTATTTTAAAGCCTAAAACATTTTAAAAGGTATAACTGACCTTAAACATGTAATAGTTAATTTAATAAAATAGTAATAGATAATTCATACCGTAACTTTAATCTTAAACATCTTTAGAAAATATATTACGATTTTTTAAAGGAAAATATATTACGATTTTTTAAAGGAAAAAAAATGGGAAGAAAGGTTAAAAATATATTCGATCTGACTAAATCTGATTGGATCCTATTAAAACTTCATGATCACTAAAATAACAACAAATCATATATATATGTTGGTTATTTTGGTATTAAACGCTATTAGAAGTTGTATTATGTCATTTTTACTAAAAAGATTGAGAGAAAAAGAGTCAAAAATATGTTGGACACAATAATTTCAAAAATTGCATAAATCATAAAAAGTGAATCGAATTGTGAATCGATTGTGAACCGTGCGATTCACTAGAGATTTCCTTGCAAAATAGATTCACCCATAGATTTGTATTGATTTTGCAAAATTGCAAATCGAATCGCGAATTGAATCGTGAATCGTAAGATTCTGATAACAGAGTCTGAAATACAACAAATCTAACATAATATGTGTTTATACAAGAAGTTTTTATTGTGAAAGCATCCAGAAGCATCGAAAGATGGTGGTAGTTGTTTCTTTGTTTTGTCTATCATGAAAAGAAAGCTTATACACCACTCCATGCCTCTTCTTTTTTTAAGCCAATCTTGCATCTTGTATTTTCTTTTTTGAAAAATGATATGCAAGCCCACTTTTTAGATCCATTTTATAGACTTAATGATGTGTAAGTGATATGATAGGTTGATGACTAGAGAAGATATAAGAGAAAGTGTTGCCGTTAATATCCTAATTGATTGCCACATCACTGGGCTTGAAAATTAGGTATAAGTTTTGGTCTTAAATAGCAATGTTCTTTTTTTTTTTTTTTGGTTGGTGAATAAAAAAATCTATGTATAAAATTAGTCCAGGATCAAACATTAGATGCAGATATATATATATATATATATAGACCAAGAAGAATGCTTGCTGTTCATATGTCTGTAATTCTTGTCCACACCCTGGTGACCCCATGATGGCATTTTGACTCCGCAGCAGCAATTTTTTTTTTGAACTGTGGCTGCCACTTATTGTTGCAATTGTACATGGTAATTTATGCATTATTATTGCTATCGTGTTATGTGGACTTAGTAAGCTCGTCATCTTTTATCTTTAAGATCCATTTAATCTTCTGATTGTGGATTGAGGACATGGTTAAAGTCGGATTTGCTGCATTTTGTAGATAAATGTAGGCATGTAGGGTCTAAATAATGTGGCATGTCCTTCCATGATTATTATGAAATATTTGTAGCATGTGGGATTAACCAAATCACGCCTTGTGTTGTGTCCCAATTTTTTTGGACCAGTTACATGAATATTTGTTTTTTATTTTCTATTTTTTCTCATATATTTTATATCAAGGGCTATATGCTCAGTTAAATTAAATCCATGCCAATTTAGGTCTTCCTCTCCCCCTAACATTTCATTGATCATACCACTTTTCCTAAGGGATCACACCACATTTCATTTATAAATATTCATTTTTTGTCTATATAGTGCTCAGGCTGTGCACTCCATTTTATATTCCCTTTCCATATTCTCATTGTATCACATGGTAGTAAGTATTTATTATTGTTCTCTAGGAGGAAACAATTCGAGAAACCATTGAAGATGTTGGATTTCAGGCGACATTGGTTGAAGATGAGATGAATGAGAAATCCACTCAAGTATGTCGAATACAGATTAAGGGCATGACTTGTACTTCTTGCTCTACAACTGTTGAATCTGCTTTGCAATTAGTACCTGGTGTACAAAAAGCCCAAGTTGCATTGGCAACTGAAGAAGCAGAAATTTGTTATGATCCAAAGATCGTCAGCTACAACAAGCTAATAGATGTCATAGAAAATACTGGGTTTGAAGCAATATTAATTAGTACAGGGGAAGATAGGAACAAAATACAGTTAAAAATTGATGGAGTTCGGACTGATAATTCAATGAGAATAATTGAAAATTCTCTTCAAGCACTTCCAGGAGTTCAAGATATAGATATTGATCCTGAGCTCAAAAAATTTTCCCTTTCTTACAAACCAGATTTGACAGGACCTAGAGATTTTATTCAAGTTATCGAGTCTACTGGGTCAGGGCGTTTCAAAGCAATGATATTCCCTGAAGGAGGAGGAAGAGAAGCCCATAGACAGGAGGAAATTAAGCAGTACTATAAATACTTTCTGTGGAGCTTGGTGTTTACAATTCCTGTTTTCTTAACCTCTATGGTCTTTATGTATATCCCTGGACTCAAGCATGGATTGGATACTAAAGTTGTGAATATGCTTACTGTGGGAGAGATTTTAAGGTGGGTGTTATCTAGCCCTGTTCAGTTCATTATTGGCCAACGATTCTACACTGGTTCTTACAAAGCACTGCGCCATGGTTCTGCCAACATGGATGTTTTGATTGCCTTGGGAACAAATGCAGCCTACTTTTATTCAGTCTACTCAGTGTTGAGGGCTGCAACTTCTCCAAATTTCAAGGCCACAGATTTCTTTGAGACTAGTGCGATGCTCATTTCATTTATTTTACTTGGAAAGTATTTGGAGGTTTTGGCCAAAGGAAAGACATCTGAGGCCATTGCAAAACTTATGGACTTGACTCCTGACACAGCAATATTGTTGAGCCTTGATAATGAAGGAAATGTAATACGTGAAGAAGAAATTGATAGTCGGTTGATACAAAAGAATGACGTGATTAAAGTTATTCCAGGTGCAAAAGTAGCATCAGATGGTTTTGTCATTTGGGGGCAAAGCCATGTAAATGAGAGCATGATTACAGGAGAAGCCCGGCCAGTGGCGAAGAGAAAGGGCGATTCAGTGATTGGAGGCACTGTGAATGAGAATGGTGTTTTACATATTAAGGCAACTCGGGTTGGATCAGAGAGTGCTCTTTCGCAAATTGTTCGGCTCGTTGAATCAGCACAGATGGCTAAAGCCCCAGCACAGAAATTTGCTGATCGCATTTCCAAATTCTTTGTGCCTCTTGTAAGTACATATGATGCTTTCCTTTTTCCCTTTTTCTTTTGGTGGGAATATTTGAAATATTTCTAAATGTGGTATACATTGGATTTGTTTTGTAAAATGTGCTATGTAGAGTAACAAGTACTCATGTTTTCAAATGGGATAGTTCTTGGCCCTCATTGAAAATTGACTGTATTTTGCAGGTTATAATGCTATCCCTTTCCACTTGGCTTGCCTGGTTTTTAGCTGGAAAGTTCAATGGCTACCCAAAATCTTGGATACCTTCTTCCATGGATAGCTTTCAGCTTGCACTGCAGTTTGGCATCTCTGTCATGGTCATTGCCTGCCCATGTGCTCTGGGTTTGGCCACACCCACTGCTGTTATGGTTGGTACTGGAGTTGGTGCTTCTCAAGGTGTCCTAATTAAAGGGGGACAAGCACTAGAAAGTGCACACAAGGTCAACATAAGAAATCAATCTTTTTTCAATAATTGTTCCAGTCACACTTCAAAAACTTACTCCCGATACTGATGTATTTTAAAACTCCAATGTGAATCACAATCTATATTTCTAATCCACTTGAAAGTTAAAGTCCAAGATATTTTATGGAATAGTGATGTAAACACTAATAAAAAATCTAATTTACATTTTGGATCAATAAAATCTTGAAGTGAATGTTTTGTTGTAGGTGAACTGCATTGTCTTTGACAAGACTGGAACTCTCACTATTGGCAAGCCGGTGGTTGTTAACACAAGGCTCTTGAAAACTATGGTACTTCGAGAATTCTATGAACTGGTTGCAGCAGCTGAGGTAATTTTCTTTCTGGATAATATTTTATATTGGAATCAAAATACATCTGTCCTTGGAAATGATATTTATGAAATTTTCTGACTTTAAGGACTTGCTTATTAAATGGGCTATTTGGTAACAAAAAGTAGGTTCAAGAATCAGATTCAGACTGTCCTTTGAAGTATGCTGTGCCTGCAAATTAAACTTATGCTTCCTTTAGAACCATGGAATTGGATATGGAATCTAAGGCCATGTCAGTTCAAATTTTTAATCCTGGTGGCCTCTAATTGCAATTTCATGTTGCTAAATGCTCTTTTTTGTTCTTCGATCCAAAACCTGTTGTCTCTTGTTAAGAGAGCTCACAAGCAGACACACACAAACACACACAAACCCACACACCAAGGAAAGTGAAGCATATTTGCTGCGAAACCAATCAGTGTGTTTGGTTTGAGTTTTTTGAATTAAGTTTTTTGAAAACTGAGTTTTTTGGTTTTCGTGTTTTTTTTGTTTTTAGTGAGTATTTTTGAAATTTTAAATATTTTTTTTTACTTTTTTAGATGCACCTTACTTAGATGTATCTAAAAAGTAAAAAATTTGTGAAAAAATATTTTTAAAAATTAATAAATACATAAAAATACAAAAAATGTACTGAATTCTAGTATTTTTTTTTTTGGTATTTAGTGAATATTTAAAAGGTTTTTTCATTTTTTTTTTTTTACTTTTTAGGTATATTTATGTTAGGTATGTCTAAAAATTAAAAAAATTGCTCAAAATATTAAAAAAATTTAGTAAAAACAAAAAAACACGGAAAATAAGAAAGTAAATTTTCTGAAAAATGTTTTTGAAAAATGATAACCAAGCATGTTTTACAAAAATGAAGAATACTTATGTTGACCACAATGGAGTTTTAGTTTATAACTAGGTTTGATTTGAAGTATGAATTGCTGATTGAATTTTCTAAAATTTCGAACTGCCTTTGATATTTATATTCTTCCAGATTTCCTAACTAAAGATGACTGGTGATTGATTATACTGGTGTGTTTTATCAGATTAACAGTGAGCATCCCTTGGCCAAGGCCGTTGTTGAGTATGCAAAGAAATTCCGAGAAGATGAAGAGAATCCAGTTTGGCCAGAAGCCCGAGACTTTGAATCCATCACTGGCCATGGAGTGAAGGCCATTGTTCAGAACAAGGAAATAATTGTGGGAAACAAGGGCTTGATGATGAATGAAAACATTTTCATTCCTGTCGATGCTGAAGAAATACTTGCAGAAACTGAAGGCTTGGCTCAAACTGCTATACTCGTAGCTATGGACAGGGAGCTGGTTGGAGTGCTTGCCATTTCTGATCCATTGAAGCCTGGTGCTCGTGAAGTCATTTCCATTCTCAAGTCCATGAAAGTCAGAAGTATAATTGTGACCGGTGACAATTGGGGAACGGCCAATTCAATTGCCAATGAAGTTGGAATTGACACTGTAGTTGCAGAAGCCAAGCCTGAGCACAAAGCGGAGAAAGTGAAGGAATTACAGGTTGCTATTTGAATAGTTGCTTTAATACACTATTGTCATGAGTGCATGTTCATGTGAAAACAAGAGTGCATACCTTGGCCATGTGTTGGATACGTTGTATCCATGGCATGGCTTGGCCAAATCTTTTAGTACTTGTCTTGGTCTAGCTAAAATGTTGGACCACTCTTATTAGGTTTTGAAATCCCCCAAGTCATTAGCTTATTCATAATTTCATCAATTACATATTCTCATATTCCTTGGCTATTCACATTATCAAAAATTTTATTATTTCCACATAATGTAACCATACAACTTTGATGCACAGGGTTCAGGCTACATTGTGGCAATGGTGGGAGATGGAATCAATGACTCACCAGCACTGGTAGCCGCAGATGTTGGAATGGCAATTGGTGCCGGAACAGACATTGCTATTGAGGCAGCTGACATTGTTCTCATGAAGAGCAACTTGGAGGATGTAATAACTGCCATTGACCTATCCAGGAAAACCTTTTCCCGTATACGTCTCAACTACATTTGGGCTCTGGGTTACAATCTCCTTGGCATCCCAATCGCTGCTGGAGTCCTTTTCCCATCCACTGGATTTCGATTACCACCATGGATTGCTGGAGCTGCAATGGCTGCCTCTTCGGTTAGTGTTGTTTGCTGCTCTCTCTTGCTTAAGTATTACAAAAGACCCAATAGGCTTGACAACCTTGAGATAAGAGGAATAACAGTCGAGTGAGAGTATGATGATGGTGTTAAATTTACCGTTGTGTATAAGCTATGTCGTGTTAAAAGTTGCTTGGAATAAATTTTGACTAAGTTGTAGATAGGTCAATGAATGTAAATAGAGTGAAGTTGCTTGCTATGTCATGATGTAGTTCAGATTGTTTGAAATTAGAAGTGTGTCTCTCTTCTTGATTGTACAATTGACATCTGCTTAATATATCAGGGTTTATCTTCATCATTCTTTGAAGTCATCGCAAAAAATACAAAATGGATTCTTCCTAGCTGCTAGCACTGAGCTTTCATAATATAGGAACCAGAAATCTAACATATCTTCAATGGATGGCTAGTAATAGCTTACAAGTTGCTAAAGCTATGGTATACTGAAACGATGTCCATATTTGAGGGTGGTCTAGAAGTGAGGACATAGGAAAAGACTAAAATGCCTATGTTGTTAAATTTTTATTTTTAAAGAAAAATTGTATGTGTGAAAAAAAAAATATTGGTTATATAATTTTATTTTATTTTATTTTTGATAAACAAGACAACTTGATTGATAAAAGATAGAAATATATCCAGACATACAGGGGCAAACAAGACAGAACTAGAGTTTAGAACAAAAACTTATAAAACACCAAAATTGCAAAGGCCTACAACTACTACTCGCATAACAAAAAGGCCAACATCTCTGAAACTGAGAACCAGCATAAATAAAATTATTCAGTATATTTGATTTCAATTTTTAGAAATTGAGTTTTTGTTTTTCGTATTTTTTTTTGTTTTTAGTAAATATTTTTAAAATTTTAAATAATTTTTTTACTTTTTTAGATGCACCTTACTTAGATGTATTTAAATAGTAAAATATTTATATAAAAATATTTTTAAATTTTAATAAATACACAAAAATACGAAAAATGTATTGAATTTTTGTATTTCTTTTATTTTTATATTTATGGTATTTAGTGAATTTTTTAAAGATATTATATTTTTAAGTGTATTTATGTTAGATGTGTCTAAAAATTTAAAAAAATTGCTTAAAATATTAAAAAAATTCAGTAAAAATAAAAAAAATACAGAAAATGAAAAAGTATAATTTTCTAAAAAATAAATTCTGAAAACAGAAACCAAATAGAGTGAAAAAACTTTGTAAGAATCTCTCATATCAATAAAATTAGTTAGCTTTTGATTTTTTAACAATTGGTAAGAGGTGAAATGAGAAATACATCTAGAACATTTCATTCACTAGGTCAACTTTAATCTTTAATAACCTATTTAGGCATGGAAAATTTAGTGGAAGGTCGACAAAGGTTTGATGCCTCCTACCAGCACCTCAATACCTTTTATTTTACCTACTAAAATTAATTAAAAAGAATAATAAATAAAAAAGGTTCTATTCGATTCATACTAATGTTGGAAAATGGCTTTGTATGGCTTTGTATAAACCTTACTTTTTTTGTTACGTTTGAGCATTAATTAAGGTAGAATCCAAGCATTATTTTTAACGTTACTAATTTAGTTCATATTTAACACCTCGTAATGAATAACATCGTGTATTTGGTTGCTCAAAATCATTTCTAGATGAATAAGAATTCAACGTGCATTTTTAGATTCGTGGAAATGGTTTTAGGTGAGTTTCCTACACATTTGTGAAATGTGTTTATCCCACATTGGAAAGGCTTAAGGATTTGTATGGGTATATAAACTCTAACTTGGGATACTTGGAATGTGCCCCAATGGGTACCTAAGTTTGTGGAAGGGTGAGGTTATTAGTAAAATGGGCTAGACCCAAAACAAAATAAACACACACGCGTCGTCGTCCGGTCAGGCGAGTGCGAGTGTGGGATTGAGTTGGGCTTGTCCGATCCAATACTTATCTTTTTGGGTAAAAAACATTTGTATTTTATTTATTTATTTAGATTTTCTCCTCCACCCGAACATGTTGAAATTCAAACTGAACAGTTCTGTTTCTGTCCAAATAGGTTTTCTACCTGTTGAATCTAACCGAACAGGTTTTCTACCTGTTGAATCTGTCCGAACAGGTTTCAATATATTTAAACCTGTTTTGAAAAGCCACCAATTTTCTTATAAATATTTGCCATTCCAACAATTCTTTGCATCGAAATTTTTCAAACATTTCTTCATTTTCTTCTTCTGTTCGTCTTCCTCTGCTCCTGCATCTGTCTACTATTTTAATTTCTAAGAAAAGAAAGAGAAAGTTACAGCATTATTTGGTTCGCCAGACTTGGTTTTGTAGTGCTGCAAATCAAGTGTTAGTCGTTACATCTTGGGAAGTAGACACCGTTAAATCTCGAAGCACCGGAGCGATAGTGAAATCTACTTTAAGGAAATTGTGTCCAACACAAGCCTCGACTTATAAATTTCAGTAAGCATTTAATTTATTAAATTATTTTCTGGATTATTTATTTTATATTGTTATTTATTTTATTTAGTCGTTTAATTTACACACACACAACCATTGGGGAATAACAATCTTAAAGTAGATTTTTATTTTATTTATTTATTTATTTATTTGTGTGTTAGTCAGACGAATATTTTGTTTTGGGAAATTAAATAGTAGTTATATACTATTTAATTTCTTAAATAACAGTAATATACTATTTAATGATTTCTTTAATAACTTAGTAGTCATATACTGTTTATCATTGAAATTTTGTTACAAAATATAATTTTGTATTTAGACTGTTCTTACTCTGACCGTCCACACCCATTGTGCCAGTGATGACTCTGGTAGTACTGGTAAATTATGGGGAGAAGCCAGAAAAATTCAACGGAAATTATTTTAAAAGATGACAACAAAATATGATGTTTTATCTTACGACATTGAATTTGGCTTGCTCCATTCGTGAAAAAGTTCCGGCACTGAATGAGGGAGAAACTAATCAGCAAGTGGTTGCCGCAGTCAATGCATAGAAACATAGTGATTTTCTGTGTTGAAATTATATCCTCAATGGGTTGGACAATACACTATACAATGTGTATAGTGTCAAAAGCACTGCAAAAGAACTGTGAGAATCTCTAAATCATAAATATAAGACAGAGGATGCCGGTACAAATAAATTTGTTATCGGTCGTTTTCTGGATTTTAAAATGATGGATTCCAAGACGGTTATCAGCCAGGTTCAAGATCTCTAATTAATTCTCCATGACATACATGCGGAAGAGATGGTGCGGCAATCATTGAAAAATTGCCACAATCCTGGAAAGAATTCAAAAATTATCTGAAGCATAAGTATAAGGAGATGAAATTAGAAGAACTGATAGTGCGGCTCAGAATTGAGGAGGACAACTGTGGTTCCGACAAGAAGTCAGGAAACCATGTCCATGGACAAGGATCAAAGTTCAACAACAAAAAGCGGAAGCATGATGGCAATGGTCCCAAACAAGGATCCACTAGTAAGATCAACAAAGGGTTCAACAAGAGGTTCAAAGGCAAGTGTTTTGTGTGCGACAAAGATGGACATCGTGCTAAGGATTGTTACGTTCGCAAGGATGGAGGGAGTTCAAGCAAAAAATCAACACAAGCCAACATAGCCAAGGATTTTTATCTTTCCGATGGAGTGCCATACATCAATCTTGTTATAGTAGTCTCTGAGGCAAATTTGGTGGGCAATCCCAAGGAGTGGTAGGTGGATATTGGAGCAACCCGCTATATTTGTACAGATAAGAAGATGTTCACAACCTATAAAGTGGTGGAAAGTGGGGAACAACTTTTTATGGGAAACTTTTCCACATCAACTGTAGAAGGATAAGGAAAAATTGTACTGAAAATGACCTCGGGAAAAGAACTCACGCTTAACAATGTACTCCATGTACCGGAGATTGGCAAGAATTTGATTACTGGGTCATTATTGATCAAGAATGGGTTTAAATTAGTTTTTGAATTTGACAAGGTTGGACTCTCCAAGAATGGAATGTATGTGGGCTGAGATCACATGAGTGATGGGCTTTTTAAGCTCAATATAATAGCTGTTGTATCTAATTTGGCTATTAATACTAAGAACATATCTTCTGTTTATATTGCTAAGTCTTCTTTTTTATGGCATGGTAGATTAGGACATGTTAATTTTAATTCTTTGCATAGACTTGTTTCTTTAAATGTTTGCCAAACTTAGAGTTTGATTCTAATCATAAATGTGAAATTTGTGTTGAGGCAAAACTCACTAAGACATCATTTAATAAAGTAGAAAGAAGTACTGAACCTCTACGTTTAATTCACACAAATATCTGTGTTTTAAAATTTGTTCAAACTAGAGGAGGTAAAAAGTATTTTATTACTTTTATTGATGATTGGACTCGATATTGCTATGTTTACTTATTGAGAGGTAAAGATGAAACCTTAGAAACTTTTAAACAATATAAACTTGAGGTTGAAAATCAACTCGGCAAAACTATTAATGAAGTGAGAAGTGACAGATGTGGTGAGTATGATGCACCATTTGAGGAATTTTGTTCTGAACATGGAATTATTCACCAAACCATTGTACCCTATTCTCCTTAATCAAATGGAGTTGCTGAGAGAAAGAATTGAACTCTTAAAGAAACGATGAATGACATGTTGATTAGTTCAGGGTTACCTCAGAACTTGTGGGGAGAGGCAATTTTTTATGCTAACTTTATCCTTAACAGGATACCCACAAGAAAATTAATCAAACACCTTATGAATTATGGAAAGGTTGACGACCTACCTACAATTACTTCAAAGTGTGGAGGTGTTTGGCCAAGGTGGCAGTCCCTTGACCCAAAACGACTAAAATAGAACAAAAAACTGTTGATTATGTGTTCATTGGTTATGCAAATAATAGTAGTGCATACAGATTCTTAGTTCATAAATCTAGAAATCCTGATATGTATGTAAATACTATTATTGAGTCTAGGAATGCATCATTTTTTGAACACATTTTTCCTTAGAAGAAAACTGAAGAGTTTAAAACTCTCGAAACTGAAGAGATAAGTTCAAATAAAAGAACTTTTGATGCTGCTATGGGTGGCAGTGAAGACCACAATGATAATGAAACAGATGAACCTAGATGTAGTAAGATGGCTAGGATTTCTAAATCATTTGGTCTAGATTTTCTAACATATCTGTTAGAAAATGAGCCTCAAAACATCAAAGAAGCAATTTCAAGTCCTAAAGCTCCATTGTGGAAAGAGGTTGTGAATAGTGAAATTGAATCAATGCTGCAAAATCATACTTGGGAACAGGTAGATCTTCCACCAGGGTGT